GTGTGTGTGTGTTTGTGTGTGTGTGTTTGTGTGTGTGTGTTTGCGTGTGTGTGTGTTTGTGTTCAGAGCAGCAGGCCCTGCTAATAAGATTTATTTTAGATCTGTTGTATCACGGTGGAAACACAATCCTCAGTCAGTGAGCTGAGACTTTGAACAAATAAAACGGTCTTTATTGTTGTATGTTTTTAAAGAATGATCAGATAGTGTGGCTCAAGTTTCCACCCTCTGCTCTTTTCTTGTTATCGCCTGTCAGAGCGTCTCCAAACGAGCCYCTCCTCACTTTAATCACTGTCCTACTTGCAGACGGGGGTGTGGTCAGTCACCTTAGCTTCGCTTTTCAATCACGTCTAATCTTCCTACATGTTGACTCACTTCAGACAGTTAACGCATTCAGAAGGTCACCMCGTTGAGTGTACGCAGTGTTTGTGTGAGAGTTTGCATGTAATCAGCAGAGTGTAGAAAACAACCAGTGGTGTTTTGGAGGAACTTCCTTATTGGCTTACAGTAAGCAGTGCTGTTTATTGGATGCTCTGGGGCGGTCACTTTTACTTCTCACGTCTAACCACTGCAAAGTGAATTAATTAGGATTTAAAGGAGCACTGCAGAAAGTCGGACCCCTTCAGGGTGGGAGTAGAACTCCTCCAGGTTGTCACAGATTCAGTACTTTTATGGACAAAGTTTCTCTGTGCAGTCAGAGGGTAGAAGGAGTCCGGTTCATGTGGTTCTGTTGGTGTCATCGTTCCGTGATCTTCAGCTCTCACTGGAGAGTTCACAGTCGAGTGTGAAGCAGTTGTCCATGGTCCTCAGTCAGGAAAGGGTGGATTGCTCTCTACAAGTTGAAGGTGAAGTTCTGCCTCAAGAGTTCAAGTACCTTGGGGTCCTTTTCACGAGTGYGGGAAGAATGAAGCGTCAGATTAATGAACGGATTGGTGCAGCTACTACAGTATTACAGACCCCCTATACCGGTCTGTTGTGGCAAACAAGTTGCTACCCTCACCTATGGCCACGAACTTTGGGTAGTGACTGAAAGGACAGCATCACTGACACAGGAAGTCAAAATTACTTTTCTCCACAGGACAGCTGGACTCTTCCTCAGAGGAAGAAGGTGAGAAGTTCAGTTATCTGGGAGAGACTCAGAGTTGAGGTGGTTCATCTGGTAAGGAGGCCTCCTGGACGCCYCCCTTGGGAGGCGCTTCAGGCATGTCCAACTGGAGGAGACCCTGAGGAAGACCCAGGAAACCCTGGACAAACTGTGTCTCTCTGCTGGCCTGGGAACACCTTGGAGTCCTCCTGGAAGGAGAGGTCTGGGCCTCAACCCTCATGCTGCTGCCCCCGAGACCTGGCTCAGAATAATCGGATGGATGGATGGATGTATAGATGGGTGGATGATGGATGGATGTATAGGTGGATGGATGGATGATGGATGTATAGATGGATGGATGTATAGATAGATGTATYGATGGATGGATGGGTGGATGGATGGATGATGAATGGATGGATGGATGATGCATAGATGGATGATGGATGGATGTATAGATGGATGCATAGATGGATGGATGGATGGATGGATGGATGGATGTATAGATGGATGGATGATGCATAGATGGATGGTGGATGGATGTATAGATGGATGGATGGATGGATGGTTGGATGGATGGATGTATACACTCACCAGCCACTTTATTAGGTACACCTGTCCAACTGCTCGTTAACACTTAATTTCTAATCAGCCAATCACATGGCGGCAACTCAGTGCATTTAGGCATGTAGACATGGTCAAGGTAGGGTCAGAATTTGGCGTCAACAACATGAAAGCATGGATCCATCCTGCCTTGTATCAACGGTTCAGGC